CACACACACACACACACACACACACACAAACACATACACATACACACATTTATATATATTTATAAACACAAAACCAACGTAATAATATGTACTTTAAGATACCATTGTTATCCTAACTTTTCTATCCTCCACAGTTACCCAGTTCTCTTACCTTCAAGCACGTAAGCACGTCCAAGAATTGTGGCCAGTACAATGACTTTCTCTACGCTTCCGGTTGTGCACTATCAACGAATGAAGCCTACGTCATCATCCCCACAGCTTACATTGTCGTTGACACGCCGAGACAGCCTCGCCAAGAGCTCAGCACACTGTGACCATGTGTGCAATTTGGACTTCTTCAGCCTTGAAAGCCTGCCTCTATGAGGCGAGAAGGCCTGATAAAAAAATTCGCATTTTGCCAGAATGGGAATGTAGTTCTGGCGTGTAAACTCCTGCACTATTCAAACTCTTCAAGTATGACTAGGTATTTTTAGCAAAGATTTTTCTTGCTCTTATTGTATAACGTGTTGTAATGAATCCCCGTAAAGTCTACAAGTGCTGCACGGGTGCCTGTTTGAACTACATGTAGTTATGATGGTCCACTCTGGCGACCTGAGAAAATTAATATAACACATAGACGTTCATACCCCTGAGAAGAAATTGCAATTAAAATGAATAATACAAAGAGAATACAAAATCTCAACCGTGGTAGCCTTTAGTATCAAATCCAATAGAGGACCTGTCACCACTGAAAACTGTTCAAACTTAAAACAAATATTCGATGAATAGCTTCATCACGTAATTCCTAAGATGTAAGTCCCTCTCTACCGGCGTATGCTGAGTAGTGGTTTAGTGGTTAGGCGTCTTGCTGTCCTACGCAGGAGACCCGAGCTCGATTCCCGAGTGGGGATAATTTTTTTCTATTATCTCTGTCTTTCTGTTGTAAAGTTCAGTCCGGGTTGGCCCTGACAAGTAGGATCAGAGGCCTGCTTCCTAGATTATCATAAATATTGTCGATAGAGGCATAAAAATAACTACATTAAAAAAAACCTCTGACACTTTATAGTTTAGGTATCTAACGTTAATATGACTATGATACTTTTGAATACTACCTAGCATGTTCACTTTCATCTGTCAGCGGTTAAAACGATATTGAGATAAATTAGTGTGTTTAATTTTCTCAGATCTCTGCATACTGGTCTAAAAGTTGAATGACCAACAGAATATAAAAACTGGAGTGTCATTGAAAGTTACATGCAAAGCGGCAAATTTCTCGATAAGGTAGAATTTTTTAATGGTGAAAGACGAAAATGAACGAGCTTGAGATGGTTTGTCTTTAAAACGGCAGGAAACCCAAACTGCCAAAATCGTTTCGTTTCTTTTGTAAAACAGACTCCATCGTTGTATACAAAAAATATAATGTAACTTCTTAAAAAATGCTGACTGACTCCACCAGTTTGTTCGAGCAGTTTTTCTTCAGTGGCTGAACCAGATGAGTGAACGATCTTCGAAACAGTAATGTTTCAGCGGTATACAATGTAGTTCTGAAGGAGAATATTTCTATCAATTGTACTGATTTTGACAAATTTAAGCTAGTAACTGTCAAGGAAAGTAATTTTCTAACATATAAATTACGTCTTTCACTTGTTTCTTATGTAAATGCTATTTCAAAATAGACTTGGGTTCGCTCCTGAAGCCGTTCAAATTATCGTCCTTTATTTAACAGTCAAAAAGCCATTCTGTCACTTCATTATAACACAAATGTTATCCCCAGTTGTGTCGTCTCAATGTGGTTTGGTATAGTATTTACGTTTTGGTCCGAAGCAACGTCAGCACTGTAGAATGTGACATATTGTTTTCTTACTTAACAAGTCTCAACATTAAATCTTTAGAGAGTAGAGAAAAATTCTGTTCCCAACTTAGGCACAAAAAGTTTGTTTGGACTTGTGTTGCACTTGAACGAAAACAAACACTGACACAAAAAGTTAAGGGAAAAGAAAATTAGGGCAGTTTTAAAGTTTGGAAGCTGATTTTTAAAAGGGGGGGGGGTCGCTCTTCTCCCACGGGGAGAATGGGAAGATGAGGAGAAGGCTAAGAAGCAGGAGGAAGAAAAAGAAGAAGAAGAAGAAGATGAAGAAGAAGAAGAAGAAGAAGAAGAAGAAGAAGAAGAAGAAGAAGAAGAAGAAAAAGAAGAAGAAAAGGAGAAGAAGGAGAAGGAGACGAACAGAGCTAACGCCTGTGTACCATCAAAGAACAGCAGTCACTCTAAAGACGGAAACAGCAAAAATATGTAAATCTAGAACCACATTTCATCCCAACATTACAACAAAGAAGCAAAATGAATCGTTTCTGATTTATTGAAAGAAGAAAAAAATCGCATTATCAGGTAGAAGGCTACTTTCGAATAGCGATTTCGGTTGCTTCTTTCGGGTTTTCTTTTCTCGTCCCTGCGTTTGGCAGTGAGGCATTCGCCGTGTTCAAGGCACAATGTAGGGAAGAACTCGAAGAGAGGGGCCAGCACAGCCCTCTGTCTTCTGTTCTCGACAGGCAGATGCGATGGACTCTGCTGAAAGTGAAGTTTCAATCGAACGATCAAGTATGAGATTAGATCAGGACAAGAACTAGGACGACGATAATGCGAACCAGTATCTTGTCAGTTTTTTCCCCCGAGCCTTGCGCATCCGCCCACTCCCCCCCCCCACCCCCCGTCCTCCTTTTCATATCCCTTTCCACCTCTTACCTTACTCTTTCTTCTCTATTCCATGCCCCCTCTATCACCACCCCTTCTCTCCATACTCACAGCCCACTCAGAAAATATACCATCCTTACCTTTACTCGCGCACTAGACAATGACGGTAACTTGTTGACAATGTACAGATAAAACCGGTGACAGAGTCTGGAAAAAGGCAAGTCGTAAATTACTTTTTTCCTTTTCTTTCCTCAGCAGTTTGCTCTAGTACCACACAAAAAACAAGCAATGTCGGTTCCAGAAGATTCTGCTTTGCATTATAAAGTTTCCCTATTTCGTATTTGTCGGTTGGCGTTTCAAACATATCTGGAATTCTATTCAAACAGAAAGGTGGTTCTATTCTGACACTTTTAAAAACTTATTTTGAAGACAGATTGTTTATAAACTACTACAGCTGTTGAAACATTCATAAAGTTGCGTCATCGTGAGCTGCATCAGAACTTCCCATCATTTTCACATAATCAAAGTTCAACATGAGGTATCGCCGCAGTTGACATCCCAGATGTCATGAATATTTCACATAGAAGCTGTTCCATCGACGAGCGTTGTTGGAACGTTCACAATCTCTTTGTTTTTGGCCAAATCAACGCAGGCTACAAGCTTCATCTCTCCTCACCATATTATCTGCTGTTCTCATTCCTCGAACTACAATAGAAGAGAAAATATCCACACAAACACATCGAGGGATAAACACCCAGCCGTAGAGAAAGAAAATCATTCTGGAGAAAGATAAGCACGAGTTATTTGTGGGATGTTTTCTCCTTTTAAAAAAAACGTTTTCATCTTTAAACCCATGGAAAACATTTGACTGAGCGTCCCGGATTAAGACTGACAAGCAGGATGTGTGCGACTAGGGTGTGTCCTGATTGAGCGCGAGGTTTGAGCAGACTGTGAGTCGAGTGGATTAGTGAGGGCCGATTTAGGCCGCTCACTCCAAAGGATTACAGGCAGCTTCAGAATGCCGAAGAATCCTTCCTCGTCCTCACAAAATACGTTTCTGGACACCATCGCCACACGGTTTGATGGAATACGTGAGTATATCTTGTTTATTTTCTTTTCGTTTCCGTGTTTAGTTTTCTTTCTGTTGTTGTTGTTTTTTTATCGTTTTGTTTTGCCTTGTTAGTTTTTTTTTTTTTTTAAACACGTCTTATAACGATATGTCTTGTTTTGTTTTATTTTGTCCAATCATTGATGAGCTTCCTATCTAGCTTGTTGTTTCCGAATGTCAACTTGAAATGCAATATTCATGTTTTCTTTCCGTTCCCTTTTCTGTTCGTTTCTTCCGTTACAAATTCTCTGAAAAACAGGCTTATTCGGAAGAGAGTAAGCCTCTCAACCTGTGAGGCACCGCTGCATCGGACCATTAACATAGTATGCTTTATTTGAAACGGATTAGGAGAAACATATATATAAGCAGATCTCTTTGCGTCATTTTTAAGTGCATTCAAAAATTGCCCTGCCCCACCCCCCTCCTTCCAAAAAATAAATTACAAATTATAAATAAATAAATAAATTTAAAAAATTAATTAATAAATAAGATTAAGTTTTTTAAGCTCCCAAATCGATCACACATCCAATACGCATACACACGCGTGCTCACACACACACCCGCACAAATACAAACACACACACACCCGCACAAACCCGAACACACACACACAAACACGCACACACACACATATACTCACACATGCAAGCACCAGAGAGGGTTTACGGTACTGTAAACTCTCTGCAAGCACTTACACACACAGACGCGCGCGCGCACACACACACACACTCTCTCTCTCTCTCTCTCTCTCTCTCTCTCTCTCTCTCTCTCTCTCTCTCTCTCACCCTCTCCCTCTCTCTTTCGCTATCACACTCACACACACACACACACACACACACACACACACACACACACACACACACACACACACACACACACACACACACACACACACGCATTTTCCCAACATTTCGTGCTATGTTCACTTTTAAAAGATCCCCAATACTCAATTTGACATTTCTGTTCAATTTAGTCGTATCTCTGCCAGTATTTTCATCGTTTTGTCCCTTCTGTTGTGTTTATCCCTTATTTCAGTTGCTTCTTTTCGAAACAATGTATACGAATATTATGTTTTGCAAGTATGTCGATTGAGTAACAACTATAAAATACGTTTTAAAGAATTAACAAAAAGAAAACGAAAACCAACACAAACGAGAAAAAAACCCAGGAAAGGCTATTACGTTTTTATGTCGGCTTTGTTGCACAACATCAAAAAGCGATCATGTCGCTTTTAAAGAATAACGACAGAAATATGACAGAAAACATAAAACTTGGCGAGATCTCATCAAACAGATGACACTAGCACGCAAAAAACAACAACAACGACGCAACAAACGTTTTGGAGAAAAGGGGAAAAAGTCACGCGGTATGCTGGCTCATCCGGATGCACTGACATGTCGACAGCCCGCTATTTTCACAACGAATACGAAATACGATACACTGACATTCACCCGGTGCAGCCCCCGTTTGAGTAATCGCAACACCATGTGAGCACGCGGGTTCGATATTTTTCTGCCATCATCTATTTCTCTGTTCGATCTGCTCATCTCCATCATGCCCGCTATGCAGACAGCAGCGATCTCTCTTTAACGCCACCATGTTCTCTGGGATATGCCTAGACTGAACACGACATGTCACTTATGGCTTTGTGTTCTCTGGGGTATGAGTCGAGGGCCCGTGTACTGTCTAGTATCCCTGCCGGACACCCAGCCAAAAGAAAAAGTAATGGAACGGATAAATACAATTATAGCTGTACTCAGAAGGGGGGAAATTGTTTTACATTCTCGTAGTTGTATCCTTCCCATATGCTATGTACCCCAGCCGAAGGAAATTTGTGAAATAAATAAAGCAAGTGTTTAAAAACTCATGAGACGGAGAGGGGCTGGTTGGGGGGAAGGGATATTATAAAAGTACCTTATAATACTCAAACGCACGCTGCTATCCTTTACGAACACCCCTCCATACAAAAAGAAAAGTGACAAAAGTCAAAGACAACACTTAGTACTTTGCTTCGTGAGAGGGGAAAATGGTTTACAAAGCACTCAAACCTATAATTATTATAAAATCTACTCACTCGTTCTTATTTTATATAACCAGCCAAGAAGAAAACAGAATGTGAATATCTTTTTTAAATTGTTGCTAAAGCTCATGGGTTCAAAACTTGTTTTACAACACACACGTACTTAATAATATTCATACATACACGTGTGTACGTCACGATTGGTGTTTTAAAAAAACATCCCACACATTGTTATGCACAGCAGATGGCTCTCTTGCTGCGGGCGATCGACAGGCCACTATGCTGCTTGCTTCAATGCAGTTTTTTTTTCACGGATACGACCCAATAACCCTGTAGCCAAAAGCTGTTACTGCTTTATTTTGCATGATAATCATCGTATAACAAGGTATTCAAAAACACGATGAGTGAACCGACATTTAACCAGGTTGTTCTAGGCGCGTACGGATATAGCATGAGTGTACCTGTTTTGGCGTTGATAACGACTCTTGAGAAAAGTGGCCCAGGTAGGTCTGATGCTAATGTCTCTCTCTCTCTCTCTCTCTCTCTCTCTCTCTCTCTCTCTCTCTCTCTCTCTTTCTCTGTCTAAATCACTTTATAAAGACCAATTATTCTTTTAAATCTTTTTCTAAACACCACTGCCTCTTTCTGAATCTTTCTGGAAACCAAGCTCGTTTTCTTAACTTCTTTTCCAAAAATAAGCTCTTTCTTGATTCATTTGTCTCTAAAAGCCAGCTTCTCGTTCGTAATCTCTTTCTAAACATCAACTTATTTTACATAATTTCTTTCTAAAAACCCTGGAGCACTTGTACGCCATTGAATGCTGAATGACACCAGAACCCTACCAAAGTTAGGTGGCCATTGGCCTGAGTGTTCAACAGCAATCGAGGCGGATTAGAAAGGTGAACTTTAAAAAGATCAATGTAATAAATGAAACGGAGTTCAGTAAAAGTTAACAGTGGCACGCCAAGCAGGAAAACGTTTACTTTATTTCAACGCTTGCCAAAGGTCATTCGTTGTGTTTATTATCGTCAAGTCCTTTGTTTAGGGGGCTCTCGTGGTCTACAGGTTACTAAGTTCTCCCCTCTTTCAATAAGTCCCTGGTTCGAAACCCGAGAACAACGGAAAATTGTCGTCCACTTTCACCTCATTTCCGGCTCCCTAACCATGTTCTGTAGCCTGCTTTCGCCTCCACCTCAGGAACAACAACAACAACAACAACAACAAAAAACAACTGCAACAAAAGCAGTAACAACTAGAGGAACAATAAGAAAAAGTGGGCCAACATGATCTATAATGTGAACTTTCAGAACGAATGATAAACAAAATAAGGACTATGAAACATATATTATAGAGAGCTATAAACGCTTTCTCTCCTATAGTCTGTGATACTGTTTAACCGAATTGGCTCTGTTTCCAACCTGTAACATTTCCCTACGCATATTATAAGTGCTGAGGATGGGCTCCCCTTTTAGCTCAAAGAGATTGTTGCCCCCTGCCCTAAAGTAACGATAAATACATCTCCTGTGGTCCTTGAGCATCACTCGCTTCATCTTTTCCCTTGCACCGGGGTCGGGCGGCGCCACCCCTTTCTTAGCCATCTGATATTGCCACTTTGTTTCGTTTCTTTTGCCTTTTTTACGTGCTCAATATGCCTATCATTTTGCCCTAACTTTGAAAAAAAAAACGAACTTTCTACTTTTGAAAGGTCTCTTATTGTACATGGATTGTATTTCCTTTTTTTTTTAAATATGAAAAAGAAGAAGAAGAGGAAGAAGAAGAAGAAGAAGAAGAAGAAGAAGAAGAAGAAGAAGAAGAAGAAGAAGAAGAAGAAGAAGAAGAAGAAGAGGAAGAGGAAGAGGAAGAGGAAGAAGAAGAAGAAGAAGAAGAAGAAGAAGAAGAAGAAGAAGAAGAAGAAGAAGAAGAAGAAGAAGAAGAAGAGGAAGAAGAAGAAGAAGAAGAAGAAAAAGAAAAAGAAAAAGAAAAAGAAAAAGAAGAAAAAGAAGAAGAAGGCAAAGAGGAAGAGAAATGTTCCCTGTGCGTGTTATTGACCTGGAGCTTCTATAGAATGGGGAAGTTCTTGACGTGTTGGTTCTGTATTGAAATAGTTGCAGTGTGGTCCGAACATTATACAATGTTCGAAAATGACTTTTAAGTACTTTAAAATTATTAATATGAAAGATGATACAGAAAAGAGTGACTAATATTTGTAATGAGGAACAACATTGGGGAAGAAGAGAAAAAAATAGGGGAGGGGGTGGGGGGGGATCAAAACTGGACATAAAAAAACTTTCGTTGATATCAGACTGTATTCTTAATTAATTGGCTGCACCTGCACTTGTAAGTATCACGACTGACAAGAAAATTAAAGTGCGCTTACATTTATACCTGTGCGTTTTTTTAACTGCTCACACTTCACCGCTGTTCGAAGCTTGCTGTGTTTTATAAATAGCCATTGGTGATCTATTTCTGGTATCTCCAAGTCCACTCCTTGTACTATCTAATAGTATGACCTTTGGCATCCGTTCAATGTGGGGAACATTTGGTTTATCAGGGGCCCGTGTATGTGTTCTACACAGAAGTCCATATCTTGTTGCTGCCATGATGGTCACATACAACATTATAGCCGGAGTCAGAATATAAGATCTGTCTCAAGGGAACGCAAAAGATATGTAGCGAAAGAATTTCCCCTCATTGGTAAATGAATGTGATTTATAGCCAGGTTTGACGTCAATATTTTTTTAAAACCACTGTTGCAACGATAATATTATATTTTAAAACACGAGATTTCAAAGCCCATTAATTCTGTATTTTTAATGGGTTCAGGATATGAGAACGAATAGAAGTTGCTGCCACAATAAAAGAAAGACGCGGTTATGTTGTTTACTTTGGAATTATCCTTCTTGATTTCATTGTACAGGCATTTCGTGTAATTCACAAGGGCGCGTAAAGTAAGATCAAGTATT